CCTTCAATCCCCACCAGGTGGGGGGCATGGCCTGAGGCCTCCCCGTCAAGCCCTGTTGGGCCAGGGGCGCGGCTTCAGGTCCCTGCTGATTGCTTGTTATGGCTTGTTATGGGAACCCCGCCTCCGCTGTGGGCGTAGCCATCTTGTGACAGTATGATGGAGTGAGGGTCAATTTGCATATCATCTCTTTATTACATAGGATAAGCCTCTCTCGTACAGATATCCTCACTTGTTTTTATAAATTTGTTCCTTGGTTTATTATCTCAAAGAAATACGAAATAACTAACAATATGAATAGCCAATATCATAGACCAGATACCCATCCATGCATTATCATTCTTTTAATTACTATAAAACATGTCAAGGTAGTACTATTATCATCTTCAGTATTATAGATGAGTAAATAGAAGCTCAGTATGGTTAAGTAAACTGCTTAGTTACATGATTGTAACTGGAATTCTAAACAAGATCAAATTAACTCTTGAGACCTTTATAACTACACGGCAACGTCTCAACAATTTCCAAGTGTGGTGTGATGCTATGTTAGGGAAACTTAGAGTAAATGAATCAGAGAACTCTCAACAGGAAAGGTCAGGTTACCTATTGAATATAATAAAAACAGAAACCACTACAAAATTTTAAAAGATTCTAGAAAACTATTTTAACATCAAAAGATGAATTGAAGTGACAAGAGAAAATAAACTTTTAAATCTCCTACTAAAAAAAATAATGGTATTACTGAATACCAGATACATGGAAAGATGCTACATTATTACAATAATCCTTAGGCCGCTTATTTAGAATTATTTATTTTTAAAAATCTTTATTGTTGAGAGCATTACTAATAGATGTCCTCCTTTACTCCCTCCCCGGAGACCCTCCCCCCTTTTACCTGGTTCCTACCCCGTGCCAGGCCTTCACCACTATTGTCTGGGTCAATAGGTAATGCAAATCTCTATAATAATAAAAGTGTAATATGCTAATTAGACCAGACAGCCGAACAACCTTCTGGATGTCCTTTCAGACGAAGCCAGGGCTGCAAGGGCCGAGCCCCTTGCACAAATTTCGTGCATGGGACTTCTAGTATGCATGTAAGTCCTTTGGTTAATCTCTTCCCCACATCCCCTTTTCCCTCTGAGATTCATCAGTCTGTTTCATGTGTCCATGCCTCTGGTTCTATTTTATTCATGTTTATTTTGTTCATTAGATTCCACGTTAATTTATTTTGAGTTTTAGATTCAATTGTTGATAGATACATATTTTTTGCCATTTTATTGTTCATGATTTTGAGCTTTCTTTTTTCTTCTTCTTCTTCTTTTACCTCCTTGAACAATTTATGTAACAATGATTTGATGGTGATGAACTCCGTTAGCTTTTTCTTGTCTGTGAAGCTCTTTATCTGACCTTCAATTGTAAATGATAGCTTTGCTGGGTAGAGTAATCTTGGTTGTAGGTTCTTGCTATTCATCACTTTGAATATTTTTTTAAAAACCGTTATTGTTTAAAGTATCACATATGTCCCCTTTGCCCCACATTGACCCCTTCTAGCCTGCCCAGAGCCCCCACCCTAAGCCTTCACCATATTTCTTGCCACTCCCTTCTGTTGAGAAATCAGCTCACAGTCACATGGGTGCTGCCTTGTAGGTAACTGCTTTTCTCTTGCTGCTTTTAAGATTCTCTATTTGTCTTTAACGCTTGGCATTTTTAATATGATGTGTCTTGGTGTGGGCCTCTTTGGATTCCTCTTGTTTGGGACTCTCTGTACTTCTTGGACTTGTAAACCTATTTCACCAGGTAGGGGAAGTTTTCTGTTATTATTTCTTCAAAGAGGTTTTCAATATCTTGCTCTCTCTCTTCTCCTTCGGCACCCCCATAATGCAAATGTTGGTACACTTGAAGTTGTTCCAGAAGCTCCTTACACTATCTTCATATTTTTGATTATTTTCTCTTCTAGCTCTTCTGATTGGGTGTTTTGTGCTTCCTCATATTCCAAATCATTCATTTGATTCTCAGAATCCTCTACTCCACTGTTGAATCCCTGTAAATTATTCTTTATTTTAGTAAGTGTATGCTTAATGTCTGACTGGGCCTTTTTCATGTCTTTGATGTTCTCACTAAGGTTCTTAAAATTCTCACTAAGATCCTTGAAAATCTCACTAAGTCCCTTGAAGCTCTCATTAATATCCTTGAGCAACCTTATAACCATTGTTTTGAACTCTGTATCTAGTAGTTTGCTTGCTTCCATTTCATTTAGTTCTGTTTCTGGAGACTTTTCTGTTCTTTCATTTGTGACCTGTTTCTTTGTCTCCACATTTTGGCTGCTTCCTGGTATTTGTTTCTGTGTATTCTGTAGAGCTGCTATGTCTCCTGGAATTGGTAGAGTGGCCTTATGTAGTAGGTGTTCTGTTGCGTCCAGTGTTAGGCCACCCAGCAGGAGCTACAGAGTAATCTGCTGATAGCTGCTACTTGTACTGGGTTTGGAAGTGCCCAGGCAATGCCCAGCTCTGAAGGAAGGCAGGCTGGTGCTACTGAAAGGTATGGGGCATGCTGATGACAGAGCTGCTTGTTTGAGAGATTTTAGGGAATTCTGTAGCCTGAGCCAGGACAGGCCATTCATATGCAATAGCCGCTGCAAACAGCTTGGGTGGGGCTGTAAATTGGGTGGGGTGTGGTCTCAGGGAATCACCAGGGGGCAGCAAACAATGTGAGACAAGCCAGTGACAACTCAGATATGGCTGCTGGTCAGCTCTGTGAGTTGTGGGGAGGTTCCAGCACAGGAACAATGAACCTTGTGAGATCTCCTGTCTGGAAGAAAGCTGCACCTGAATTCCTGCCCTGATGCCAGACAATCCAGTTCCTCCCCATATGTCCCTGGATCCCCCAAAGCCGCTGCCCCAGTGCTGGAGCCCAGAGGGATTGAGTCTGAGTAAGTCTGTGTACTGTCCCTTTAAGAAGAACTACATGGGTCTCCAGCAGCCTCCATGTCACTCAGTCACAATCCCCACTGTTTTTCACAGCCCGAAGTTATGAGGACTTCTCTTCCCAGCTCTGGAATCCTGGCTGGGGGTCTGGAAGCCCTTGCTTCTCACCTGAGACCTCTGCAGCAGAGCTATCCCTCCATATTAAACATGCCACACGTGGGTGTTGAATCAGTCTGTTCCGCGCCTCCACCCCTCCTACCAGTCTCGATGTATTTCTCCTTTACTCCTCTAGTTGTATGACTTCCATTCAGCCAGATTTCAGGTGGTTTCGAATGATGGTTGCTCTGTATTTTAGTTGTAATTTTGATGTGGTTGTGGGAGGTGGCGAGTACCAATGTTTACCCTACACTGCAGTCTTGGTTCTCTCTCTTATTTAGAATTATTAAAGTTTTAGTATAATACCTGTAATTTCTCCTAGAATCATATTTTGTATGATATTCCTATTGATTTTCATTTTTTAGGAGGGGTAAAAGTACATGGAAATGCTCATAATCATAGTTGATATTCCATTTCCCCCCACAATGGGGCTTATTTTTACCTAGATTTTATACTATAGATCATTAATTGTAAAAATACATAAAGATGTACTTATTCACACTTTAAATAAGATTGAGATCTTTCACACCTATCATCATTATTATCTACCCTATATAATAAAAGCCTAATATGCTAAGTGTCTGGTCGTCCGTTCAACCAATCAAAGCATAATATGCTAATGATATGCTAAGGCCGCTCAACCGCTCGCTATGACGTGAACTGACCACCAGGGGGCAGACAGTTGACTGGTCGACCAGTCACTATGACGTGCACTGACCACCAGAGGACAGACATTCCGACCGGTAGGTTAGCTTGCTGCTGGGGTCCGGCCAATAGGGACTGAGTGAGTTGGTTCGGACATGGCCTGGAGCCCTGCCGCAGTCCCTCCCCGGCTGGCCCACCGCCCGTATCCCTCCCTTGCCCCGATCATGCACAGCTGGGGTCCCTCGGCCTGGCCTGCACCCTCTCACAATCTGGGACCCGTTAGGGGATATTGGAGAGCCGGTTTCAGCCTAACAGTGGAACAGCTGGTTGCTATTATGTGCACTGACCACCAGAGAGCAGACGCTCAAAGTAGGAGCTGCCCCCTGGTGTCAGTGCTCTTGCACAGGGGGAGCGCTGCTCAGTCAGAACCCAGGCTCACGGCTGGCGAGCACAGCAGCAGTGACAGGAGCCTCTCCCGCCTCCACGGCAGCACTAAGGATGTCTGACTGACCACTTAGGCCTGCTCCTGGACATCCCCTGAGGGCTCCTGGGCTGTGAGTGGGTGAAGGCCAGGCTGAGGGACCCCCCGAGTGCACGAATTTTGTGCATTGGGCCTCTAGTCTATATATATAAAAAGCCAGCGACCATAACGCCGTAACGACCGGTCGCTATGACGCTCACTGTGGCCAGCAAAATGGCCCGATCAGGGGGTGGGGACATCCAGCCAACCTCCCGCGGTCCCTCCCCCCTGGCTGGCCCACCCACCCTTTCCCCCCTTCCCCGGCCAGCACGCTCCCGATTGGCCGCCCCACCACGATAGGCCTGCAGCCTCTCCCACTGGGTGGTCCCGCCCCTGATTGCCTCCCCACCCCATTTTATGGCGGGCCAGCAAACCCATCGCCCACAGCCCCTCCCCATGGCCATACTTAATTTTGTTAAAAATTAACAAAATTTCCAAAAGCAAAAATATTTTTTAAAACTGTTTCACATTTACAAGTACAAAAGACATGATAAATCTAAGCAGGTTCAATATTATGAAGTTCAGAATGTGTCCTATTTCATAGAGAAACTAATAAAAAGGCAAATATTGAACCCACTTTATAGCAAATCCTTACAATTTTATTTATAAGATAATTAATTTATATTAATTCCCTAAAAATACCAATTGAAGCCCAAAGTGAATGATCAAATCTAACAAAAAAATAATTAAAACACTTACAAAAAAGAAACATTAGAAACAAATTAAAATTTATAAATAAAAAAGAAACTAATAAAAACCTGTGGTATGGTGGATAGGATGACAGTATTCTCAGCAGGGACTGGCAGGACAGGGATCACAGGGACAGTGGGAGAAGAGAGAGGTACAGCTTCTGTTGGCTAAAAATCATCAATGACAAAAAATCAGGAAAAATGTCAAAATAAAAAGGAATCACATAACAGAAAGTTTGTCATGAATTATAGTTTTCAGAATGAACTGAAAAGTAGGTAAAATATTAATATATTACCTCAATTTGAATGAGAAAATGATTTCCAGAAAGTATTTTATTAATAATTATATCACAAATATTTTAATTACTCTGCAGTTAAAAAGAGTGACTACTCCTTAGATCAGTGGTTCTCAACCTTCTGGGCCTTTAAATACAGTTCCTCATGTTGTGACCCAACCATAAAATTATTTTCGTTGCTACTTCATAACTGTAATGTTGCTACTGTTATGAATCGTAATGTAAATATCTGATATGCAGGATGGTCTTAGGCGACCCCTGTGAAAGGGTTGTTCGACCGCCAAAGGGGTCATGACCCACAGGTTGAGAACCGCTGCCTTAGATGTTTTTAATGAAAATAATAAAAGATAACTATTTATAATGCTCCTCCTCAAAGCGACAAGACACTAGCTTCAGAGACAGACTACAAAATATTTTTCTAGCATCCAGAATATATTTGACTACTTTCCTCCTTGTATTGAAAGAATCAAAAGTAATTCCATTTGCCTATCAGGTAGATAATTGGGCCTTACAAATCTACAGACAAAAGATTCAAAAGATTCCAAAATTGAATCTGTATAACTTAAACTAATCTGTGCTATTAACCTCTATTATCAAGAACCTGCCTGTAAAGTCATTAATGCAACTAGCATTCATTGAGTATCTATTATATGCCAGACATATTTTGGAAAAAATGAAAAAAGAAGTGGCAACTCTAGTGACATATTTAAACTATAAAGCTTTGATATTTGTACTAAACTAGTGGCATGGAGCACAAAATCCGTGCACTGGGGGGGGGGGGGGGGAAACCCCCCCCAGCCTGGCCTGTGCCCTGTCACAGTGTGGGAGCCCCATGATCCATCACCCCAAAGAGGTAGGCCTTGCCCACCCATCTGGGGCTCCTCGATGGATTGCCCCAAAGAGGTAGGCCGGGCTGGGCCACGACAGAGGCTTGTGGACCCCCAGTGCAGGTGTGCGGAGGCTTCCGCCGCAGCCCTGTCCCCGGCCCCGACACTGCAAGTCCCTGCCCACCTGCGCCTGCTGCGCACGCAGCCTCCAGCTGATTGGTCGTTACGCATGAGGGCATCCCAACCATTTGCATATTAGCTTTTTATTAGTATAGATTACTCTATGTGACTTGATTCAATTATTTTTATAAAGCTGTAACTGGAACACAGAAAGGTGTTTTCTAACGAGTTCCAAACCTTATAAACGGAATTAATTCATATTTCCTCTATCAATGACATATTCTATATGTACAAAAACATTAAAATTAAATTAATAAGACAACAATGTACATTAAGAGACTTAAAACAGAAAGAAAACAAATTGCTAACCTTGAAACTATGCTTTTCCTCATTGATAAAAATACAAAATGAAATTAAAATGTTAACTTTCTTTCTCTATCAGGCAATGAAAATTTATCAAAAATGTATGAAGTCTCTTCAATAAGGTATTGAGACACTGGATATCCACATGCAAAAAAAAGTTAAAACATTATATATAAAAACTAATGGAAAATTAATCAACAACCTAAATATAAGTGCTAAAACCATAAAACTCGTAGAAGAAAAAAGGGGTAAATTTTCATGACCTTGGATTTGACAATAGATTCTTAAATATGACCATTAAAAAAGCGTAAGTGATGAAAACAAATTAGGATTTAATCAGAATTAAAACTTCTTGTACACCAAAAAGCATTATCAAGAAAGCGAAAAGACAACCTGGGAGTAAATCTTTGCAAATCATACATCTGATGAAGGTTTGATATCCAGAATATACTAAGAACTCCAACTCAACAACAACAAAAAACATTAAAAAAAAATGGGCAAAGGACCCAAATAGACATTTCTCTAAAAAAGCTATACAAATGGCCAATAAGCACATGAAAAGATATTGAACATCACTATTCATGAGAGATATGCAAATCAAAGTTACAATATCACCTCACACCTACTGGAAGGCTGTAATAAAAAAGGGAAAACTGAAACAGAAAGTAACAAGTATTGGTGAGAATGTGCAAAACTGGAACCCTCAAAAACTGCTGGTAGGAATGGGAAAGTGTGCATACTCTGTGGAAAACAGTTTGGCAGTTCCTCAAAAAATGAGCCATAAGCCTACTATATGACCCAGCTAATCTACTCTTAAGTATATGCTCAATAGAACTAACAACAGGAAACTGGATACTTACACCAACGTTCAATGATGTATTATTCACAACAGTCAAAAGGTGGAAACAGCCCTAACTGGTTTGGCTCAGTGAATAGAGCGTCGGCCTGCAGACTGAAGGGTCCCAGGTTCGATTCTGGTCAAGGGCATGTACCTTGGTTAGGGGCACATCCCCAGTGGGGGGTGTGCAGGAGGCAGCTGATCGATGTTTCTCTCTCATTGATGTTTCTAACTCTCTGTCCCTCTCCCTTCCTCTCTGTAAAAAATTAATAATAATAATAAAAAAAAGTGGAAACGACCCACATGTCCACCAACAGATGAATGGATAAATAAAGTGTTACATGCATTAAATGGATATTAGTCAGCCATAAAAAATAAAATTCTGATATATATCCTACAATATGGATTAATCTTGAAAACATTATTGCTAACTGAAATTAATCAGCCACAAAAGAACAATATTGTATGATTCCACTTATATGAAATACTTAAAATAGATAAATTCAGAGACAGAAAGGAGAATAGAAGTTATGGGGGCACGGGGAATCATTGCCTAATGGTTACATAGTTTGATGTGATAAAAACAATTTTGGAAATAGTGATTACTGCATAACACTGGGAATATAACTAATGCCACAGAATTATTCAATTAAAACTTGTTAAAATGGTAAATTTTGTTACATATATTTTACCACAATAAACAAACTCAAAAAAATTTTAATACATGGGAACAAGTACTCTCTCACACTGCCCTTGGAAATATAAATCCATACAAACTTTATAAAAACCAACTCAGCAGTAATTGTCTATAGCCATAAAAATATCTAACCTCTCTGACATAGTCATTCTGGAAATCTATCCTCAAGGGAATAATTTAAAAAGCAAATGTTTTAATACTCTTAATATATTCCCCTGAGCATTGTTTATACTTGGGGAAACGTAGAATATCCTAAATATCCAAAGGTGTTGAAATGGTTAAGTAAATAATGATAATTATATAAGATTAAATAAATATCAGGCAACAAGGATAAATCATCTGTAAAAACAGTTTGTAAGTCATATAGAATACTGCCAATGACATGACATTAAACAAAAAAGGAGAAATGAAAAGTGTAAAATTATGGAAATAAATGTGTGAAAAGTTAACCTCTGGGGGCAGGATTACAAGTACCTTCCCTCCCCACTGCCTCACTTCACACTAAAGGCCGGGTGCGTGAATTCGTGCATGGATGGGGTCCAGCTGGCCAGGGGGAGGGGACGCAGGAGGTTGGCCGCCAGCCCTACCCCTGATCAGACTGGTTGGCCGGCCGCAGTGCACGTCATAGTGACCAGTTGTTCCAATCACTTGGCTATATATTCTATTTTCCTAATTGTCAACAATAAATACACAATATTATAATGCAGTGTGAGAAATGGGAGACCCACTGTTCATATCAAGAGAAAATCAATTATGATCGTTTACCATTCAATTCTCTAAAAGATAAAAGGAAAACCCATTTCACATGAGTTGTTCTAAAAGATGCTAACAAATTTTAGTGACATATAAGACTATTAGAGATGAAGGGTAAGGATCAAGTTCATTTTACAACTAACTGAGGTTCAGCTCACAAAAGGGAAGCTGTAAAGAATTAGGAAAAGAATTGCTGAATTTCTGTTATTGGATTTCTTATTTCCCGTAGAAAGAGATTTTTAGCAACTAGATTTTGTTTCCTTTATCTATTTCTAAGTACCCTTTTTTAAAAACCCTGAAATTTACACAATCTTAATCCACTCTCTTCTCTATAGGGCACTAAGCAAATACTTTGAAAAAGAACATTTGCCCCTGCCTCTAACTTAAGGCAAATACTGCTGAGAAAGTCTTCAAAAAAACAACTGCCAATAAATGGCTAATTATTTTGTATCTACAATTTGGTAATAAATTTATTTTGTATACTGAAAAAAAATTGCTTTGCCCTAAACCAGATTTCAGAATAAAACGTACATCTTGGGCCATAGCGCCCCTTGGCATACCTAACTGCAACCACAGCATGGTCTTCAGATCGTTAATGCATTTTGATATACTCAAAACGTATTCATATTTCACAATAAACACAAATTAATTATATACAACAACAACAACAAACAACTGCCACATCGACACACAGCATTTCCTAGCCACAGCTGATAATCAATTCAGGTAACAAAGATTTATAAAACAACAAAGTAAATTTTCATTTGAAACAAAATTACAGCCTTAAATAATAAATAATGAAATGAAGGTTAAATGATGAGGAACAGTACAGATATTAAATCATTAAAATGAAGAAAAATAAGAGGATATTTTCAATGCAGGATTAACAGTATGGTAAAATTTGGGGGAGCTCTATAAGAAGATTCTAAATTAGAAAATGTCAAAATTTAAGATTCTAATATAAATATTGAGGCCGCAATATAAAGTGACCATTATATTTGGGTTATTACAGAAAAGGAGGCATTTCAGCATAAGCTTTTTAAACTTGAAAAATCTTAGATACATATTTCATTAGACAATAGTGATTATTAGTCATCATTCTCTTCCTGCTCCATCTGTATCACTCAATAAGATCATCTCCAAGATTAAAAAAAAATCTTGACCAGGTGACTAACAACTGTCTCAGTTGTTTCTATCCATAGCAACACCATGGAATCATTATCCTTCGAGGTTGCCTTCAGAGACTTGTTTCCATGACAACAGAGGCTATATAA